ATTTTTCAAATATGGTATTTCAGGATTTTATAATGACGATAAATTTTCTTGAACATCGTTAAACTATTTTCAAGGAACAATAACACCGCCTCGTAGTTAAATAGCCACTAGAGCTAATCAGTTCTCCTTTTCACTGAATATAAGGAATGTAATAAACAATTTGAAGGCTCTGAATAATGGCGACATATTCGGTTTGAACGTGAAAATAATAAAATGTATAAAATATCTCATCATTATCCAGACATTCTCAAAGAAGATTTTATTGTCTCTATATACTAAAAAGAGAGCGTCGAAAAGGTAACCAACTAGCCAATATCATTCCTACCAATTTTTCAAAAATATTCAAAAACATATGATCACATTGTTACCTTTTCGACAAAAATATAGTTTTTAATCCAAGTCAGTTTGGCTTTAAAATTAACGTACTAACAAAAATTTATCTAAATACAGTTACGGTTTCTCAATTCATTTTGTTACTTTGTTAAAAATTTATTCGGATGGGTACCTCAAGGCCCCAACTTGGAGCTTTTGTTATCCACAATATCTATAAATAACCTTTCACTTCTAACGCTACGGTAGGCTATCCAGGAAAATAGTGAAAGAAAGAAAGAATCCACTATTTTTGTGGATGGTCTATATTTTTTTCAAATTAACACTCAGATTCAAACGAACTGAGTAAACTAACAAATCGAACGCGCAACGAAGAGCAGCGGGAACTCTAGGAGAACATAACTATTGCGAGGATTTTAGGAATACACGTATTTAAAACCCTAAAAATATTTAATTTTCCTTCGATTTATTTACTAGATTGGATTTCTTAGTAAAAAAACTATAATATACATCAATAATGTAGACTTCCACAAATACACTGACTACAAAAATCTACTGTCATTATCCTATTTTAGACTAAAAACTTATTGTAAATGTAGTATTTTTATGACGTTTCTGATGACATCATCAACATTCTAACAAGGACTAAAATAAATTACCTAATTCATATATTTTTTTTAATCATTTTGTATAAGTAATTCTAAATAAAATGTCAATCACAACAACCATATCTATCGAAACATCAAAGAATGGAGTGGAATACAGCTTCTTTGCTATCGAGGGCTCCATTTTGCATTGATACAGGCGCATTATTCGAAGAAACCATTAACTCAGAACAGGAAGCGGAAATAGTCGAGGATCATAATTTACTATTGCTTCTGTTTTTCGATAACTGGCCTAATTTTTTAAATGCAAAAAATATTTCTTAGCGTTTTGTAATTAAATAGAAAACGAGATTTTCTTAATACAAAAAAAAAAATAGATAATAACAGGCACAATTTTAGTTAAAAAAGAATCCACCCAATCAGATCTTCTGCCGCTTATATTAGTGTAAAAGATGATCATATACGATATGGATTTGTTTGCGAAAAAAACTCAAAGCAAATTCATACACTACAAGTGTAGGAATATATTATTGTGTAACATTTAAATAATTTTAATATAAAATCTTTTGAGATGATGTCATCAAATTCATGATGGAGATGAATATCCAAATTTTGGTTAGCGTTTTACCATCTATATAATATTCCTAATACATCTACAAAAATTGGTCGAAAATTGTTTCGACAAAACTTCCCTCACTCCTGAAGTACATACAATGAAACATATCCAGCATTTTCGAGTTGAGTTTCTCGTTACACAATTTTGTGAAGACGTCATCAACATTTTTGCAAAGACACGTATATCAACTTAGATTGGTGCAATGTAATACTAAAAATAACAGTAGTGTTTTCCCAAAATTTTCCAGGAAAATGGAGTGAGTCGTTCCTGATTTAATAAATTTTATTCTACAAAATTTTGAGATGACGTCATGAATTTTTTGGGGGGAATAAAGAGATATATTTTGATTAACAATTTACAATGCTTACAATAACTTTAAAACGTCTGCAAAATTTCAAAGTATTGAGTTTTGCAATTTTTGATTTAATCAATAAAATACAATGACTTAGTCATTTATTTTTTTTAAACACCCTGTATAACCAAATGTAAAAAATATTAATGCAGTGATAAATCACAAGTATAAACTCATCATATTTTAATTACTGCAAAATTTTGCGCTGACGTCATCAATTTTTTGGAGAGGATAACCAAATATATTTTGACTAAAAATTTATTGTGCTCTTCACAACTTTATCTGCAGAATTTCAAAGCATTCGGTTTGACAGATTGAAAATTAAATTGCAAAATGTTTTATTATTTTGATTTTTTTTTCCAAAAATCTGAACGTTTCGGGTAAAAACTCAACACAGAGTCATAAACTATACATGTGTAGAACTATGTTATCTTATTATTGGTGGGTATGATTAGACAAACTTTGGTTACCATTTTACCATCTACATGATATTTCTTTTGACAACAATCTGCCCAGTACTTTCGGAAATTATCTGTCTAATAATAATCGGGACGGCAGACGGGCAGACAGACGGACAGACAGACGGACAGACAGACAGACAGACAGACAGACAAACAGACAGACAGACAGACAAACAGACAAACAGACAGACAGACGGAAACGGGAGACCTATTTCTTCGTACTCTAGGAAAGTAAAAATTAAAGTAAAGTAAATTCTGGTCTAAGGTTATTTGGATCTCTTGCCCTGAAGTACACTCCAGCAAAACTAATTTCTTCGAAAAATTATAAATCTTATTTGAGCAAAATTTTATTTTTTATGTTAACCTCTACAAATTAAAAAAAAATAAATGCATTGATAAACTGCGAAAATCATTGTTCCCATTTTCGAAATTTTGTAAAATTTTGGAACATTTTCTAGAAATTTGTTCTAAATCTCTTGGTTATTTGATTAAGTACTGACGAACCAGTTCAAATTCTTAATTTGACAAGAATTCTCTACATATTACCACTATCTTTCGTACGAACTGAGCTACCTATAGCATTTTTAAAAATAATTTTTGGAAATTGTTGGAAATTTATGACTACACATTTTATTCCCGTTTTCCAGGTTTTTTGAGTAAGTGCTAGCAAAGGGACTTTATATTTTTATTCAATCAAAAATTTTCTGCATAGTAATACCTGCAGCATTTTCAAAAAAAATTGAGAAAATTTTATTCAGTTTCTGTCACTTAGCTAAAAAGTTATTATAAAAAAGGCTTCAGATGCTTAAACTGTTGTCTTCATGTTAACAGTTTCTTCCGTACCAATGGCACTTTCAGAAAAAAGTTTGTTCCTATTCTTCTCAATTAACCAAAAAAAAAATTGATTATAGGTCATTTCACTAGAATTATTCTACTAAATTGTAAAATCCGGTAGTTTTGAAGACAATTTGCCGAACAAAAATCTGGATAGACGGCAGACAAACAGACAGACAAACGGAAACGGGAGACATATTTTTTCGTACTCTAGAAGTCATAGAACATCGAGGAAACATGAAAGCAGCCAGTCGTCCGATTGACTCAATTATAATACTTTCTTAGTTTACGCTCAGAACATAATACCTGGAAAACGAATTCAAACGTATGGGTAACTCAGCAATAAATTCAATATAAAACATTACGTTAATCTGTATTTGAAGTTTAGTAATTACAATATTTTGCATAATATTTTAGACAGAATTTATTCAGCAAAATTTTGCGATGATCGTATCAAGTTGATTCACGGTTCACTAGGCTTATGAGAACCTAAAAACGATTGCAAGATTTCAGACCATTCGGATTTTGAGTTTCTTTAAGTTAAATAGTAAAACATTGTTATAAAATTTCAATTTTTTTGTGTAAATTTGGATGCATAGGGTAAATACCAAGACGGATTCATAAACCACAAGTACAGAAGTATGTCAGGAGTTAGCGTTTTACTATCTACATGATATCCATAAAATGCATATAAAATTTGGACAGTAATCAGTCCAGTAGTATCAGAAATTATCTGTTTGATAGATATAGACAAAGACAACAGAGACGACAAACCAATAGACGATGGACAGACGGAAATGGGAGACTTGTTTTTATACGCTAAAAAAATCGCTGAATGAGCCGAATTATTTAGGAATTTGAATATTTTAATCATCTTCCAGATCGAAGAAAATCATTTGAACTAAATAAAATTAAAAAGAGGTATCTACCAAGTAATAGGCAAAATATATTATACTGTAAATGAATTGTTGAATAATAAATTTGGTGTAAAGTTTTTTTTTACCGCGTATGAGTTGTTATTGTTGTTATTTTTGTACCTGTTTCCTGTGACGTCCTGATGTGTGCAAAACATGCACGTAATGTTGGCATTAATAAACGTATTATTATTATTATTAATTTTTATTCGCTTCATCCAAGTATATTTGTTCATCTGGTTATGTATATTGTTATATGCATTATATTAATTGTTAATTGACATTTATCTTTGTAAGCTCCTCCAGAACAAAAGTACAAACGTTGTATTAGAAAACCATTTGTCAATGAATGCGTTAAAAGTGAATCAAATTAGCACTCGATACATAGAATAGGTATAGTTGAGTAATATACTGTCTAACCAATGTATGTCACCTGCAATTATAGTCGATTAACTCTCACACACCTACACTTTTGTCTTCGAACTTCGTGTTCTACTTCAATTACGTAACGTCATAATTGATAATTTAGTTCGTTAAGTACATCGACTTAGGCGTTGAGTTATTTAACGAGTAGACGGCTGAAAAGAAAATTAGGCGACGGCGTTATTCTTAACCTTTTCTTCCATTCGCTATTAAATCATTAAATTAATTTGCTCGAAAAAGCGGAGGTCTTAGTCCGAATATTATTCACCGAAGAATCCTCAACGGAAAGTGATTGATTCGATCGCTAACAGCTCATTACAGCCGCATTGCTGAGGAATCAATGTGGGATTAGTCGGGATCCGATCAGGATATTTGATTTCTCCCACTTCCTGTCGATATTCATTGTTTGCCTCCGTTCGCCGAATTATGTTACGCTGAAATCTAGAATTCTGCGTTTACTTTCAGGTGTGGTTTCAGAACAGGAGGGCGAAATGGAGGAAAACCGAAAAGTGCTGGGGCAGAAGTACCATTATGGCCGAATATGGACTGTACGGGGCCATGGTTCGGCATTCGCTACCTTTACCTGAAACCATTCTAAAAAGCGCCAAAGAAAACGAATGCGTCGCTCCCTGGCTGCTAGGTAATGACTGTATGTCTTTTACTCAAACACTTTTAGTAGCTGCTTTTGAGATATAAGAACTGTTACTTTGCGTGCAATTATTTCAACGAATATTTTATTTAGTTTAAACCATAACCTGTTATTGCAGATATAAATTCCCGTAAAAACTTGTTACTTAGCAACTTGTATATTAAAACTATTATTATCACTGATAAAGAGCGGATCAGGCTAAAAAAAAGCCAAAATAGGTCGGTCAGCCCAATGGTCTCTAATCTAATTATACTTGTTTTTAAGATGGTAAAATGGGTTTTTATATAAGCCAAATTTCTTTGAGATGCTTTTGTTGGAAATAGTATTAATAACCTAAAATGTTTCATTTAATTTAGAGTTACACAACAAAATTATGAATAGGAATAAACGAACTTTTTTTTTGTCCTCAAAATGATCGCAATAATATATTGCCATTTCAATCCATGAACCCCATCTTGTCAGAACAGGTTCTGGACTCAATGGCCAATCCGGTAAGGCTTCCCGGAAGCCTTGGATCCTCAAATGAGCTGCTAAACTTAAGGCGTGTTACATGAATTAAGTTGGGATAAAATATTTCCAGATGTTTGCAACATTTAGTTTTTCGTATTTGATTCCCGTTGGGCGTAATATACCTGTATTATATTTGAATTAACATTATAATTTCCGAAATTGGGTCATAGACCAAATTTAAGTGCGGCTTACATCAGATTACTTTACCTTAGGTACCACATAAGAAAGTTACAAATTTGTCCTAATTGTGCAATAATGTTAATACAACTTTGCAACCTTGCATTAGTAAATGTAATCAATCTGATTGACGTTACTAAGATGCAATTTGAACACTAATGCAAATCGTAGTAAATTTAAATCGACCCGAGAAATATGGATTTTTTTAATAATTAATAGAACTACATAACGCGACTGTTACATTATTGTTTTCTTTTTTTTTAATATTTTCAGTGACAGTAAATGTGATAAGAGTGATTTTGCAAATGAAATACCCTCTAAGAATAGAGAGGGTGGGTGGGCGGGGCTAGTACCTGCTAAGATAAGGCTGATTTTAGCAAATGATGTATCCTCTAAGAAATTTAATTAAATTATTATCAGAAAAGACACTAGAGGCTCCAAAGCACTTTCAAATTCTTTCCAAACGGATATACCTAGGACCTCAAGCTTGTTTCAAATTTTTCAAAAAAAAAAACGGGGTCCCAAAATTAACTCAAAACCAGGTCAGGTCAGAATTTTCCAAAAATAGAACACCAAAGTCACCCAAAAATCTTTTAAATAATTAAAAAAAAAAAATCTACATGGGCTCCCAAAATAATACACCATGGGCACCACACTATAGCACTCAAGACTTTTTCAGATTCGTAAAAAATAAAACACCAGCTTCCTTTAAATTTATCCGAAAATGAAACACCAGGGGACCTAAAATTAACTGCGAACATTTTAAACGTTAGATTTTGAAAACTGACAACTTTTGAACCGTCAAACATTTTTAACTGCTTACTCGTTTTTGCTAATTTGTACCTTCGCTTTATATCAGGCTAACATTGTTGTCAAATGGAATTTAATCAAATTATTACAAAAACAACACAAAAGAACCAATTTTAAAATCATTATAACTCCATCAATTTGTGAAAAAGATTTTTTTTTTACTATTTTTCCCAGACTCACCAGTTGATTGTTGAAAGCGTAACGGAGAGTTAATCCGCCATTTTCCAGACACCCGGTATAAATAATTTTTCCACTACAATGTTTGTAACGTATTGCCCATTAGAGTTTGTAGCTTCATCTACTGCTATCCAAATATCGTAAACCACAGTATCTGTTGTAACCCTATTAATCATCTACAAAAGTACTATGTAAATGTTGGTAACTCCAACGGTATATTTGCCACAACAAATGCAGTACATAATTCATAGTAAACATTTTTCTTATGGTCTTCACTATGAAATGAGAAAATTCAAGTTTGCCCGGTACCTTTAGTAAGATTTGTTTTGTAAATGTCAATATTCTCATGTTGAAGAACTACTTTTATTTATTTATTTTTCAAAAATTGATATATAATTATGTGAATTTATGGAATTCATTTCACAACTAATTTTCCTATTTGAATTGTGCAACATTAATAATAATTTATACTTACAATTTTCCCATAGGTTTTACACAACAATTCACCGTTTTCTATTTGAAAACCGTGTTTGTTTTTCATCCATTTCTTTAAATTGTCCTTTAAAAACCATTTGCCTTTAGATATTTATAAAAATGTCACAAAATACTAGATGAAAAACAATTTTTCAAACACTTTTACATTTTTGAACTTCAGTTTACGAAAACCTAACACGAACTAATTGATACAGTAAGAGAACTCGAAAAGAAAGTTGTAGGAGGGCTTGGTGTATTTAACACATCAAAACTCTTCCTAGAAAAAAAGGCTTTTTCCCTAGCATCTGCAATTCTTCACACATGTCGCGTTTGAAATTTTTTTTGCCATTTTCCAAAAAAAAAAATGAATCTCAAATTTCTTAGCTTCTAGTGTGTTAACCGCATATTAGAAATCCGAAGTCCTTTTTTTATATCTTTTTAAATAAGGGAGAAAAGTGAGAACAATTTTTCGTAATTTTCAAAAATTTTTTGTTCGAAACATTTAAAAGTGGATCTAACGGAAACGGAAAATTGTTGGTCTTCGAATGACTGATAAATGCGAGGAAAATGTTCCAAAAATGTCCAAAATTTCCGAAAAAAAATGTGAAACCGTTCCAAATGGCTTTATTTGAAAGGAAAAGAGAGTTAACCATTTCATATATGTCGAGATTGTAACCCTTTTGGCGATATCTCTTTTCAATTAAGCCATTATCCGAGACGAATCTTTCCAAAAATTGCAAAAAAAATTGAAAAACGTTGAGTTTCTAGTTTTTTAGAGAAGGTATTATATTTATCTTATGAAATACTAGCCCCGCCCACCCACTCTCTATTGTCTTAAAGAGTATGTCATTTGCCAGTTTTATCTTAGCAAGTACTAGTCCCACCCACCCGCTCTCTATTTTCTTGTAGTGTAGGTATATTATTTGCCAAAGACAGGATTGTTTTAACAAGTACCAGCAATATATCTCTGACTAAATAAATGAGAATATATTTTCCAAATAACTCAGAAATACAAGTTAAACATCTTAAAAATAAAACAAAACAACAAAAAATGTTTCGAGTTTGAAATTTTTTTGCCATTTTCCAAAAAAAAAAAATAAGATCTCAAACTTCGTAGCCTCTAGAGTGTTAACCGCATATTACGAATTCGAAGTCATTTTTGCAATATCTACAAATCTCAAGTCCTTTTTGCAATATCTTTTTAAATAGGTGAGAAAAATGAGAAAAATGTTTCGTAATTTCCAAAAATTTTTTGTTTGAGACATTTAAAAGAGGAAAGTAGTTGGCTTATAGACAATTTTTCGCAGATTACGAATTCAAAATATTTTTGACGATTTGTCTCCAAATAACTGAGAAATGCTAGGAAAATGTTCAAAAAATTTCAAAAATTTTCCAAAAAAAAAAAATGTAAACCGTTTCAAATGGCTTTATTTGAGAGGGAAAGAGAGCTAATCACTAGAGAATTCTTCACATACATATTTCGAGATTGAAATACTTTTGCGATATCTCTTTTGAATTAAGCTAATATTCGAAACGAAACTTTAGAAATTATTTAAAAAAAAATGAAAAACATGGATTATTTTAGTTTTATAGAGTATTAGCCGCGGATTTATCTTATGAAATACTAACCCCGCCCACCCACCCGCTATTTTCTTAGGAAGTATGTCATTTGCCAAAATCAGTATTACCTTAGCAAGTACTAGCCCCGCCCACCCGCCCTGTATTTTCTTGGAAAGTATGTCATTTGCCAAAATCAGTCTTGTCTAAGAAGGTACTAGCCCCGCCTACCCACCCTCTCTTTTCTTAGAAGGTATCACATTTGCCAAAATCAGTCTTACCTTAGCAAGTACACGAATGGTCGTAGTAAAACACAACATGTTGCGCATTCAATTTTGTCTATCATGGTCAAGAGTCGTAGAATACGAAAACGCAGGTTTCAACTTCCCTCCCGAGTGAAACGAATCTTATCCGAATTCAACACTAAAAGAGAAATATGTAATGTAAAAATGTCACTTTCCTATATCCGTCTATCCATCAACGTTGGCCTAGTGGCGATGTTATTAATAAAGCTCGGCATTATATGCAAAAAAAAACATGTAAATATGCGCATATATATGCAGAGAAATCTGGCATTATATGCAAAAAATTGCTAAAATATGCAAGAAAAATGACTTTTTTTTATACATTAATATTTTATTTCTATCATTTCTTACAAACTTCCTATAACTTAGATGATATACATCTTTGGATTTAAACTACACATTTACAAATTAAAACTAACTATGTCAGTGTATTCTATTACTCTATTAACTAGCTATTTTTTGACTAATTAGTTACTCTCTTGAAAAATATTATTATTTACATTTATTATAATATGCTTTTCTCGATTTTCCATTTTAAATGAATGTCTTCGATCATTTAAAATATATTTATTCACTGAAAAACTACGCTCTACATCGACAGATGAGGCATATTTAAGAGACGACACAATTTGAAAGGATATATTTACCTCATCTGAAAACTGTGCATCTAAAACTTTTGCCAAATTAGTTAGTCTAGTAAAACCCAGATTTTTACTAAGGACATCGTCTAGTTTTTTTTAGACTGTTTGAGCGATAAAACCTTGTGCTTTATTGATATATATTTTTTATTTTCTATTAGCTGTACGGATTCATTTAAGGGTACTTTTTGTTTTTCTAATTTTGTTAATGTTACACCAATTAATTCTTAGTTGTTGTTTATGAAACTTAAGTCCTGATTTAATTTAGAACTATTTAAAATCTTTTTAACTTCCTTGATTGCTGCAGCTGAACTATCATCAAATTTTGACTTGATGGTACATC